TGAAAATGGTTGAAAATCGCTGCTCTACTGTATACTTGAAAGTTGGAGAATAGATCTTAAATGTTCTCACCATAACAACAAAAAAATGATAATTATGTAAGGTGAAAGATGTGTTAACCAACCTTAATGTGGTAAGCATTTTGCAATCCATATGTGTATCTAATTATCAGTCTTAAACTTATACAATGTGTCAACTATATATCAATAAAGCAGGAAAAATGGTTTTTCACATATTTAAATGGTTACATAAATATCTACTGAATAGTCGCAATTTGCCTATTGGCTCATAAAACCTAAAATATTTATAATATGGTCCACTGAGAAAAAGTTGTTTTTTTATTGTAGCTGTGTTCTATCTTTCCCAGTTAGATTTACTGTGCTCTTGGTATTGATATTTGTGTTTAGTGTGAGGTAGAGGATCGAGATTCATTTATTTCTTTTTGGACATCCAGTTAACCCAGAATCATTTATTGAAGTGCCATCCTTTATCATACATTAGGTGTCTATATAGATATAGGCTTGTATTTGGATTCTCCATTCTGTTTCATTGTTCTATTTGTACAATAACCTTATGGTAAATTTCTTTCAGCTTTACCAGCCAGAATCAGCTTCTACTGCATGCAGCCAAAACCCTGACAGGAATGAGTAATTTCAAAACTCAATTATTGAACCTCTTCTCTGTGAGGTCAACTTCATTCCAATAGTTTCAAATTATCAGCCAAAACTGAAAATCCCCACATGTAAGTCCTTCCCAGACTTCCTTTTTGGGTATAAAACCTGTACAGGTATATACAACTGCCTACATGGCAGCTCCACTTGAAAGTCTTAAAGGTACCTTAAAATAGTCTAATTCCCGCCCTGGCCGGTGTTGCTCAGCAGTTAGAGCATTGGCCTGCGGACTGAAGGATCACAGGGTTGATTCCCCGACAAGGGCATGTACATGGGTTGCAGGTTCATACCAGTCAGGGAGCATGCAGGAGGCAGCCATTCTATGTGTCTCTGTCACATCAATGTCTCTCTCTGTTTCTCTCTCCTCAACTCCCTCCCCTCCCTTTCACCACCTCTAAAAAAAAAAATATCCTCAGGTGAGGATTAACAAAACAAAAAAGGCTAATTCCTATTCCTATTTCAGGACTCAGCCTTAAATGTTATTTCCTCAGGAACACTGTCCTAATTCAACCAGGTTACATTCCTGGGGTTCTTACCCACTTCTCTTCTTTCAAAGCCTTTATCCCAGGCTCAATGAACTATTTGTATGATTATTTTATTATTTTTATCCTCACCCGAGCACATTTTTGCATTTATCTTCAGGTAGGGAGGGAGGGCGGGGTGCAGGGAGAGAGAGAGAGACATCAGTGTGAGAGAGACACATTGAGTGGTTGCCACCCACATGACCCCAATCAGGGCTAGGGACAAACTGCAACTGAGGTATGTGCCCTTAGCAGGAACCAAACCCGGGACTATCTGGTCTGCGGGCTGACGCTCTAACCGCTGAGCCAACACGGCCAGGGCTGTATGATTATTTAAAAATACATGTTCTACTGCAAGATATATGAGAGACACTGCTACACCTTGTCAACCTAGCACTTAGTGAACACTCATTTGTTGTAAGGAATAAAGAAAAACTTCCTGCCACCAAATTTAGGTATCTCCAGCTAATCATTCCTCCTTTTTTTTTTTTTTTAAAACCCTCACCCGAGGACATTTTTCCATATTTTGTTCAGATAGAGTGGGAGGGAGAGAGTGAAACATCGACATGAAAGGGACACATCGAGTGGTTGCCACCTGCACAACCCAACCAGGGCTGGAGACAAACTGCAACTGAGGTAGGTGCCCTCAATGGGAACCGAACCTGGGCTTCTCTGGACCGCAGGCCGATGCTCCAACCGCTGAGCCAAACCGGCCAGGGCTCCTCCTTTTTCAATGAAGAAAGCATCCCACCTCCTGCTTAATGCCATCTCCATCTATGCCTTGGAACCTATCCTTTTCCACCTCTCAGAATCCTCAGGCTACCAATTACCTCAATTCTCTCATATCTTTTATTTCACTCTCACTACTAAATTCTTTCCATTACCAATTCCTTTTTTTTTTTAACCTTTAATCAAGAAAGTTTTAAAACATACTTATCCCTCAGATTTAACAATTGTTATACACGTGCTTTAATCTTTCTTCTGCTTGAATACTTTTGTTGAAGAGACCTGCCTAGTTCTCATTGTCAGTGCCGAGATATGCTTAAGCCTCTCCTATCTAAAAACAAAACCACCACCACAAAACACATCCTGGCATCACCTTCCAGCTAACTTTTCTTCATTTCTTCCAACTTGGTGATAACGCTAGGTAATCTTGCTGTCTCCCTTTTGTCACTTTCTACTTACTTCTCAACCTGTTCCAATATGGATTTTACCCACTGCTGTAATTGCTCTTGTAACATCAGCAGTGACCTTACTACCCTGAATCTTTAGGACACTTTTCAGTCTTTACCTTACTTGGCTTCTCAGAACATTCCACTGTTGTACTATCTCTTCTTCCAACAGTCCTTGCCTCCTGTGAAACCCCACTGTTTAGATTTTCCCATCTCTCTGTTTAGCTCACTGCTCAGTTTCTTCTGTCAGCTCTTCCACCTCTCCCTAAACATGAAATACTGGAAGAGACTCAAGGACTGTACTGGTCACCAATTCCCTTTGTACTCTTTCCCTGGGCAGTTTCATCTTTTCATATGGCTTCATTTATCACCAATGGCCGACAAAGTTCAATCTCCACTCTGGCTCTTGCTTTCTTTTATGGATTTAAGTCCAACCAACTACTCCACATCTCCATTTGCATATCTCACAGATTAATTTCAAACTCGGCATGTCCAAGACTTGTTTCATTCTCTTCACCTTCTCAACCACCACCACCACACCAATCTTCCTCCGGCACGCTCTAACTCGGTAAAGGTACTTACTTACCCTTCACTCAGCTGTTTAAGCCAGAAAACCAAGAGAGATCATTGACCTTTTCCCTTCTTCTTCATTCCCAATGTCCAAATGGTAAAATTTGCCTTTTCTGCCTTTAAGATAACTCTTGATTTGTAATAGCTTCCTAGGGCTACCGTGACAAAGTACCACACACTGGGTGGCTCAACACAAAGTACATTTACTTTTTTACAGTTCTGGAGTGTATAAGTCTGAAATCAAGGTGTTTGTAGAACTGGTTCCTTCAGGGGCTTCTGAGAGATAATCTTGTCCATGCCTGTCTCTTAGCTTCCCACAGTTAACGGTAATCCTTGGCATTGTTTGGCTTGTAGCTGCACCACTCCAATCTCTGCCTCTGTTGTCACAGGGCCTTCTTCCCCCTGTGTGTGTGTGTGTCTCTTTCTTTCTCCTTATATAGACACCTTATTGGATCTAGGGCCCATCCTAATCCAGTATGACTTCATCTTAACTTAATTCCATCTCCAGAGACTCTCTTTTCAAATAAGGTCACATTCACAGGTACCAAGGGTTAGACTTCAATATATCTTTGGGGGGGAGGGGAATAAACCCACAATATGATCCCTTCTATATTTTTGTATGTATAGTGGTGAGAAGATGGACTCTTGAGTCAGACTGCCTAAGTCTGAATCCTAGGTCTGCCACTTCCTAGCTATGTGATCTAGAAAAGTTTCCTACTCTCTTTTGTGCTTCATTCAGGTTCTCCATCTGTAAAGTGGGGATGAAAACTATCTCATAAGATTGTTGTCAGGTTACACAAGTTAATATACAGACCCTGGCACACCGTGTTAAGTACTGCTTGTTATTATTCTTGTTATTATGCCCACTCAGCTGACAGTATGCCCACCATCTCTACTTGTCTTGTTGGGAATGGTGCTCACCACATCCACTCTTCTACCTTCCAATCTGTTCTCCATACTGTAGCCAGAGGGTCTTGCAAACAGTACAAACCTGGTCATGTCACTGCCCGACTTTAAGACCTTGTTTTCACCTGCTCCAGAGTTTTCACATCCTCTCAACGTCTCCCAACCCCTCACCTTCACCTAGTTAATGTTTAACCACTTATCAGATTTGGGGTCAGACACACTTCCTCCAAGAAGTCATAGGTTGACATTTCACTGCGCTTCTTTCATGATATTCTTCATCTGCTAGTGTTACTTGTTCAGTTTTATTTAGATTAACTTCCATTAGAAGGGCAGGGTAACTGCTGTAATTTCAGCTTTTATTACATGGGCCTGGCATATAATTTGTGCTCAATAAACCTCTTCTGAAGGAATAAACAAATCAATCTTGTTTAGTGGTTTGAATTTCAGTGATTCACAGACAGAAGTGGTACACTGTGCCAAAGAAGGCACATAACGTAGTATCCTGCCTCAGTTCGGCCTCATACAGAGACGCAGCCCGCCCGGGATGCCATGGAGGTTGCTGGTTTGTGAGGTCCCGGTTGGCATCACTTGTCTTCATCTTTATACGATTCTAGCACAGTTCCTGGCACATCGTGGGCACCTAAAACTACCTGCTGAACAAACTTTCTTGGAACGTGGGTGGCGGGATGCCGCGATAACCCCCACCCCTTCCCGTCCCCCTCACCCCCGAGCCCAGGAAGCCCCACGGCCCTCCATCCGTTCATTCACCCGGTGACCTGGGCTCCAAATGAGCCACGCCCTTGCCTCTTGCACTGAAAACTCGGACCGCAGGTTTCTGACCACTGAAAGCGGTCTCAGAGGAGTGCACTGAATGACTCCGACGGGAATCGGGAGGCGGGCGTCCCCGGCTCATCTCAGCACCCCTCCTTCCCACGCCCAGGGCCCGGCGCACAGTGGCGTCCCTGGAACAATCTCCCCCGCTGCTGAGGTCCAGCCTGGTGAGATGAGTGGCTCGGCTTTCCCCCGCAAGGAAGGCCCCCAAAGCCGAGCCCCCGCCGCTCGTCGGTCCCGGCCCAGGCTGTGCCCTCACGCGGCCCGGCTCGGGTCCGCGCCCCCGGGCTCCGCCGCCGCCCCCTCACCGCGGGCCCGCCGCCCCACTCACTGTTCTTGAGGAAACGCTCCTCGTGCAGCACGGCGATGGCATTGACGCAGAGCAAGGCAGCCTGCAGCAGCGAGTACAGGGTAAACGCCATGGTCGCCGGGAACCACCCCGAGGGCCAAGTGATTCGTGGGCAGCCACCACAAGGAACGTGGCGCCGCCACGGCCGGCGCTCTCCTACGGCAGCCGACGAGGCCCGAAACGCCCTTTCCGAGAAGCTCCGCCCCCAGCCGGCTAAGACCCGCCCCACGCTTACATCAGTGCGGTCTGTCCTCTTAGCGGTCTAGACTTGGGCTGTTCCAAGCAAGAGCCACCTGTGACTGGTGAACGCTTGAAATGTGGCTGGTCCGAACTGTAGGCTGTAAGTGTAAAATACGCAACAATACACACCGGATTTCAAAGATTTAGGACCAAGACAAGAACGTAAAAATCTCCCACTAACTTAAAAATGTTAATTACATGTGAGATGGTATGTTGAATATATAGGTAAATAAATTAAATGGACATGAATTTTATTTGCACTTTTTAAAAAGTGTGGCTGTGAGGACATTGATAATGATAGGTGAGGCTTGAATTATATTTCTATTGGACAGTGCTGTGATAGAAGCTCCCAAGAGCTATATGAGATGTTAATATTCCTTTTTTACAGATGAGGAAATGGAGGGTTTGGCAAATAATTTTTTAAAAAATTAAAATAAAATAACGTCTTAAAATTACTCCGTGAGAAACATTCTCTGCTTGATCAAACTTTAGCCAGGCTGCTCTGAGCCCTCTATTAGGGCCTCCACTTTGGCCTATAAAACTAGATTCTCAATGCATGATTTCATCCGTCTGCTCCACATCAAAAGACAAACAAAACCAAAAACATTAACATAGTTTCTAACAGCTTAAGGCCTTGTTCCTAGGATGACCCCTTAAAGTGCCTGCCTAAGGACGCTTAAGGCTGCCAAAAAATTTACTTTGTTCTAGCCAACAGCTGCAAATGGGCCCCTGACCCACCCTGTATTACAGCAATTACCTTAAGGGCTTACACTGGTGAATCCTTCCTTAGTCCTTTTGAGATGTATATAAATCTCCCACAGTTCAAGAGTGTCTTTCCTAAAGACAGGAAGGCTATAACTTTACAATGTAATCATCAGGAAGGATAGGGCTTCTGTCTCCCAGTCTCTGCCAGGGCAGAATCCTAACTAATAATTGCCAGCTAATGCACACAGCTGGCCCAATCAACATTTACACTTTGTATTTTTCACATTCCTGCTTCTACTGAGCCCCTGCTTTCCTCCCTTTCTACTCCCTTGATCTCCCTTTAAAATGCCCAGTCACCCCTGTACAAATGGAAGTTGAGTTTAGTTCACACTTGACCCTCTTCAATAGTATATTACTGATATACTGTCTTTACCATTCTACTTGGTATCAGTTTTGTTTATCTTTGACAGCGGTATGCAAAGTAATCATCTGAACTTCTCAGGGTCCCCTAAAATCAAAAAGGGAAAAGCAACATATTAGTCCTTTCTAGGAGTTTGGAAACCCATGCGTTGCTGCTGCTGTTGGAAGAGACACTAGGAGAGAGAGAGAGAGAGAAGGGAGGGGAGGGGGAGACGAAGAGGGAGAGGGACGGGGGACGCGGGAGAGGGAGGGGGGAGAGAATAAACAAAATAACAGGATACCAAAACATCCTACAGTTTTTCAAGGCTCACGAACTCTAGACACTGGTGATAGTGATAGAGAAGGAAGGTTGTACCTGTAAGTAGACAGTGAGCACTCCATGATTTCTTCACTGGGCGGGGCCGGGGGAGGAGGCACCCATGGTGCCTTGTTGGGAAGCTTTGAGCAGTGAATGGGTTTTTACTAGACTGTAAATTTACTGAGGAGAGGGGGTAAAGGGGATGACTGGAGATTATGGAGATGGATGGAGTGGATGTGGGACTGAAGCCTCCCACAGTTACCCCTTTGTGTCACCAGCCACTGGGCTACAATTCACATATCCAATACTTTTATTGTCAAAAGAATCAGGTTCACCTCTCTGGGCCTGTCACTTCATCTATAAAATTAGGTGATTATGACCTCTAAGGCCCCTTCAGCCCCCAAAATCTCTAGATATAGCAAAAGCAGTTTAAAATATAATAGTATAAGTACTAGTACCGTGTTATTTCATTCATTATTTTTCAAAAACCCAGGATTGCAGCCTAAGCTGACAGCAGCGGAGTATACCCTTAAAAATAATTATTTCTCTGATATCCTTACTTGCAAAGATATTCAAAAGCCCAGAATAGTCTTATATATCTATAAAATAATTTTCTCAGTTTAAAAAAATCTGCCCCCAAACAAAGAAGAGGGTAAAGTGCATATTCTGCATTTGTGCAGCTTGAAAAAAAAAAAAAAGACTGGCTATGGCCTATTTAAAATTAGAACTTGCTGCTTGCTGATACATTTTCATGCATTCATGTTAGGTAATCTGCCATTGAGGAGGAAACTTTCTTCAATTTCAAACACAGATGTCTCCTTATCATTGACTTCAAGTTTTGTGTTGCTTTTTTTCTCTTCAGACTTTTAAATGGCACACTTGGGCATCTTGGAGCATTTTGCTACAGACTTTCTTTGTAACTGGTAATATGCAGTCAATGTTTTTGTTCCTTTGACAAGAATCAAAGAGTGAATGCCTTCAGTAAAGTTCCTGTAGGCAAGAAGAAGCTAAGGTTAAGATTTTACCTAGAGTAATTTTTATGTGGTCCCTTATAGATGTGGGGACCCTTTAAAATGCCCCAGGGTGGACTCAGTTCTTGGATTTATAAGAGGTTTGAACTCAAAATATTACCCTTCTCTGTATCGATGCCTTTGCTTTATTGTTTTACTGATCTTTGACTTTGGGTTTAGTTATATGACTTGATTTGGCCAATAAAATAAGGAGGACATGATGCTGTGCCAGCACTGAGCCTAGACCTGCTTCTGCTTTCTTTCTTATGCTTCTGAAATTGCCAGGAGTGGGGAAAACCATGCTGGGCCTAGCCCACAGGTTCTAGGGAAAGGATTAGAAACATTCAGAGCAGAATTGAATGACCCCACTCAAACCTGCCTAGATTAGCAAATCCTCATCCAACTGCAGATCCATGAGAATAAATTATTGTTTTAAATCACTAAATTTTGAGGTTGTTCATTCTACAGTATTTTTGAAGCAACAGATTTCTATCTATAGTCACTCACTTGGTGATCTAATTTATTCTAATGGCTTAAAATATGTGTATACTCTGAAGACTCCCAAACTTACATCTCGTACCCAGAACTCACCCATGAATTTTTGGCTATTTTTATTAACCACCACTTGGGTGTCTAATAGATTATCTCAAACTTATCTTGCCCCAAACTGATTTCCCTCTGAAACCTACTTGTCCTACAGTCATCCCATTGAAGTTGATGGCAACTCCATCCTTCCACTGGTTCAAGGCAAAATCCTTGGATTGTCCTTGTCTCTATCTCTTTCCCTCACTCCCTGTACACAATCTAGCAGCAAATTCTTTTGACTTTAACTTCAACTTCAACATATATACAAATCTGACCACTTTTCACCTTCTCTACCACTAAAGCCCTGGTCCATAGATTAATGCAGTATCTACTAACAGGTCTCTGTGATTCCACCTTCATGTCTCTACAGTTTATTTTCCCCAGAGCAGGCCAAGTACTTCTTTTAAATCCAAGTAATGAAAGCAATTTGTTTGTTAAGAGAACTGGGTTATATATTTTATAGAACTTCTCATATTCTCAGATTTTGCTAATTGCATCCCCATGGTCTTGGCTGACTTCAATGCTATACATAATGCAGGAATCATCTGTAAAAAGTGGGGGAAAAACCCCCACAAAACTTGCTGTTTGCAGAAAATAGTTACTATTTAAACCAACTAAAACCTTTCACTAACTCAATGAAAAACATCAAGTATGTGGTAAAGAAAAAATTTTCTCAAGTTAGGTCTTAGAATAATTCTTCAATAAATGTGTGGTCTGCTCTTTCCACTCATATCTTTAAATTTCAGCACTTTTATTTCTGCAGTCATTAAAAATAGTTCATTAAGGTAAGGATTATGCATGTTATTTATTAAAAATTTAGACTCTCCTTGAAGAATGATAAAAATGGATTATCGGTTTTAAACATTTCATCCTAATATATTTTAATAGATATATTTATCTTATTGTCTGTATCTGAGATATGAATCAATGATGACTGAAGTATGTTTGCTTTTAATCCTGCTATTTACAATGGCAACTTTGAGCTTAAATTGGTTTATGGCAGCAGAATTCACCCAAATGGGTTCTATTTGAGGTAAGCATTGGACTAAAATAGGAAAATCCCACAAGAAGAGCCTCATTCATGTTTATGGATTCATACAAGCTATTCCTGGTATGAAACTCAAATGAAACCATTTGCAAGGTGAAAGCTTGTGCATTATGAAGTGAGTCTGGAAATAGAGCTATTGGAAAGGGAATGTTTCTTTAAGAAATAAAAATGAGTCGCTGTATCTATTTTTAAATGGATTAGTCCTGAATGGCTACATATAGCTGACCTGTTTTGTTTTTTTTATTTTTAATGCCACCTGAATAAATAAAAGCAGAATAAAAAACTAGAGAAACCACTTACTCAGATGCATATCATTCCTTCACTTGTGCATTCATTTGTTTATTCTTTTACTCAAAGAGAATTTATTGAACTGCTAAGATGTGCCTTACATTGTGCAAGGGGTTAGGTAAGGTGCGGTAGGTTAAACACAGATAATGATTAGACATGCTTCGGCCCTGATGAAAATGATTGAGTTAGTAAGAAAGATGAGCCATAGAATGCAAGGAGTTACAAAGGAGTAAATGCTCAGTGGTTAAAAGAAAGAGAAAGTATGAACAAAAATTAGTTTAGAACAGGGTCTCCCAAACTTGGCTGATCATCAGAATCATCTGGGAGCTTTTAAATACATATATTTTTCTTCTATTTCAAGATGGTGTATTAAGTACATGTATTTCTCTTTATTACTTCATGAGACTCCATTAAATGATACAGAAATTTACAAAAGGAAATACGTACATTTCTAATAGTAAAGATAGAGGAACATAGAAATTTCAACAATCTCTAGAAGACAAGAAAATGGAAGGAAACATGAATGGATGACATTAAGTGGGTAAAGCTGTAGCC